CAGAATTCCCCAGCCAGCGAATGCTGGCTGGGGAATTCTGGGAGTTGAAGTCCGGACATCTTCAAGTTGCCAAGGTTGAGAAACACTGATCTAAACTATCTTATTTAGAACTCTGCCCACTGCCAGGGGTTCGATTCTCACTGGTTCAAGGTTGACTCAACTTTCCCTCCTTCCGAGGTGGGTCAAATGAGGGCCCAGATGGTTGGGGGCAAGAGGCAGACTCTGTCAACCCCTTAGAGAAGGCCGTGAAGCAGTATATAAGTCTGTTGCTCCTTCATTCTGATTTTATTCTCATTCGGGTGCGTATAGCAGACGATAGGATCCGGGAGAATATAAACCCCCGCAGGAAAATGAAGTTTGCCTGCCTCTCCTTTCGACAACCGTACGCCGGGCTGGTATTGAACAACGTCAAGACCATCGAGAGCCGCTGGCGGCCGCTGTTAGCCGACCACCAAGATGAGACTCTTGCTGTCCACATCGCCTTCAGAGACTGGGAAGATGACAGCTGGAGAGACCTTCTCTTGAACAGACTCGGCTGGACTTCGGCTCAGGTTGACCATCTGTTAGCGCAGGGGGAGAAATTTGGCCGAGGGGTGATTGCTGGTAAGTCCAAAGAAGACTTGTTTTTTAAGCCAGCAGGCGTCCAAAAAGTTTGGGCACCAAGAACCGGTTCCGTGGAGAGAGCCAGGGCCGTCTGGCATTTCCCAGCCACCGGAGAGGCAGCTCCCCTTGGAGTCAGAGATGAGTGAGGAGGGTGGGGGCCTGTTCCAGATGCATGCATGCACATAGGAGGGGGGAACAACAGAGGACAAATATTAGACTTGGGAAGCAAAGCACATGTGGACGCTGAATGGCCCCTCCCTGGCTGGGGAAATAAATAGAAGGAAAGGGGAGTGGTTGTCGTAGGAGACAACAGTTCGTATTTCTGGAGATTTCGCTCATCGTGNGGAAGTTGTGGGAGCTTCATCCCTGGAGGCTTTCAAGAAGAGACTGGACTGCCATCGGTTAGAAATGGTGTAGGGTCTCCTGCTTGGGTGGGGGTTGGACTAGATGACCTACAAGGTCCCGTCCAACTCTTGTTAATCTCTTAAAGGTCCTTGCTCGTTCTCCCCATGTTATGTTCTTGTTTCTGATCTTGAGCAAACGTTCTACCAAACTCTCACACCAGTGAAGTCCTCCTTCAATGCCTGACAACTTCTACCCAGGGTATTTGAGGTGGTTAATAAGAGTTTGCTCAGGCTGACATTTTTCACCTTCTGCAAGAAAACAGGCTTGCAAAAAAATCCTGCAGGTGGGTAAGCTTGACACACAAAAACATTAGCACTCAAAAAAATTTGGGGATGCTTTATTGAACAGGCCAAAAGGGAGGCTGTGAGAAACCAGCCTTTGCCCAAATGTGTAGCGTTAACAAAAGTGGGAATATTTCTTTCTTTTTTTTGGAGGGTCTGGCAGTCTCTTCCCTCTCCACCGCAGATGGTACGAAGACTGAGGCTATTCACAGAGAAATTTACATACCTCTTTCCAAGCCAATTTAATCCAGAGCGAGAAGTGCCAACAGTCGTGCGCAAAGACGCACATCGGAATAGTAGTTAATGTTCGTGGTTCGATGCAGGGGGGGGGAGGGATTCGAAACGCGTGAACCACTTTTGCCGAAGGTCCTTCAAACCGAGAAATAGAAGCCAAGAGGAACACGGAACGGGGGTGTTTCGCGCGCCGGAGATTACGCCTTTCGTACAGCCTTTTAAAAAATACTTTTTACATACATATTTATAATGTACAGACTCCTGTTCCCACCCCTCCCAATATATTACATTGCCAAAAGTTCATATAAATACTATGTACAGGAAAACGTGACTTCCGCCAAGGAGGAAGGTTCCTACGTTTAGGAACCTCCCTTTTTTGGCTTCTCCAAAATAAACACCCATCCACCACCGCGGGAGAGAGTGAGCGCAAAGCCCTCCGGGGGCCTTTGTCCAGGGGGAAACAGTGGACAGGAAGAACTCAGGGGCGTGTGTTTGTGTGTGTGTGAGGGGACTGTGAAAGAGTATTAGTAGTGGCAAACGATGATTTTAAATCGAAGGCTGCCGTTCTGTGAGCAGAGACTCAGCCGTTCCCACTGCTGCACCTGGCCAGAGTTACTGAACTCTTCCTGCTTTCACTGGGGTGATATTTTGACACCCTGGGATGGATGCATGTTAAGGGAACGTCTTATGAATGCAAATCCACGGTGGTCCCCGATCCCCAGCCGTCAACAAACTAAAAACAAAGGCATGGAATTAAAATAATAAATCGTTATAGTGTCGGCTGAGGAGAAGCCAGTGGTGAAATCACGGGGGGGGAGACATCCGTCCTTGGCAAAACAAAAGTTCCGCTTTTAATCTGGCGTGTCGATATTCAGCTTGGGCGGCGGGATGACGTACTTCCCGGGGCTCTGGGTAATGACCACCCCGGCTTTCTTCCGGAACATCGGAGCGATTTTGGGGGCCTCCGGGAGGGGCGTTTCTTCCGCTTCCTCGTTATCTTCGTGATGCAGATCGTAAGAAATGTTGCCGTACTCCCTCAGGAAGGGGAAGATCTCCAGCAGGAACTGGCAGAAGTCTTTGCGGATCCCGAACCACCCTGCGTGGGGAGGGGGGGAAGCGGGGGGGCAAAGTCACTCGCCTGTCCACCTTGGGAAGCCCTGGCCCCTCTTTCTCCCTCTCCGGAAGGACCCTTCGTGCTCTCGGAGCTGGTTTCCTTACAGACATTTCGTGAGCGGTGCTAGTGAGGGGTGGGTTTTTACGCCCAAGTTTATATTCTATAGGCTTTCCCTGTCGGTGCTGGTGGGGCTGGACAGTCAATTAATAGAACAAAAGCCTTATGGGGGGGGTCTTTGGTTGGGCTGTTTCCCGGCAAGGCACTAGAACAGTGTTTCTCAACCTTGGCAACTTGAAGATGTCCGGACTTCAACTCCCAGAATTCCCCAGCCAGCGAATGCTGGCTGGGGAATTCNGGGTACAAATCAAATCACACTAGGAAACAATATAAATCATAAAGATACAAGCAAGAAAGTCATATGGCCATAAGTGGGAGAGGAAATGGGGGATAGGAACGATGAGATGTTTAATAGTAATGCAGACTTAGTGAATAGTTTGAAAGTGGGGAGGAAATTATTTGTTTAGCAGAGTGATGGCGTTTGGGAAAAACTGTCCTTGTGTCTAGTTGTCTTGGTGTGCAGTGCTCTATAGCGTCGTTTTGAGGGTAGGAGTTGAGTTTATGTCCAGGATGTGAGGGGTCTGTAGATATTTTCACGGCCCTCTTGTTGAGTGTACAGGTCCTCGATGGAAGGCAGGTTGGTGGCCATTGTTTTTTCTAATTACCCCCTGAAGTCCATGTCTGTCTTGTTGGGTTGCAGAGCCAAACCAGACAGTTTCGGAGGTGCAGATGACGGACTCAATAATTCATCTGTAGAACAGAATCAGAAGCTCCTGGGGCAGTTTGAGCTTCCTGAGTTGGCACAGAAAAGACATTCCTTGTTGTGCTTTTTTTGATGATGTTTTTGAAACGTCAAAACTTATGGAATTAATGCTGTTTGTATACTATTTTTTAATCTAATGCAACTCTATTCTTCAAAATGCTAGGCGTTTAAACTCTCTTTCTTTCTCCCTCCGTCCCCCCCCTCTCTCTGTGCGGTTTCATGTCCTATTTTTAATCTGCACTTCTATAGTGTCTGTGTAAACACTTGAAAGCAATGGGAGAATTTGGCAGCGCAGAGGGAATTCTTCAAGTCTGAACAAATTAGTCTGCATCCACACTTTTAAAATATCCCCCCAGTGCCTTAAATTACAGTGCTCTGCAGCTTTCAAATTGGTGAGCTAGAAATGAAGTTTCAGCAAGTTAAGCAGTTCAAATGTAAATATGATAATTTGACTTTCCCCCCCTTCCTTAGGACTCGTGAAGGATTTTAGCAGAACAATGGTTCTCAATTTAGATCACGATAAATTTAATGGCGCATTTAGGCTGTGATTCCTTATCACTGGACGTGGAATAAATGCGGTATCCAGGGAATTCTGAAAAAATAAAGCTGTAGATGGCATAAAGCTGGTTCATTAAATTAAAAGCACCGATTTATTTACCGGTATTTTTTTATTTCAAAACATATTTTCTCTTCCTCCGTGCATACATTATCCAGTAACCTACATTCCCATAACAATGGTTGAGTCAACTGCTTTGAAGCATTTTATTATTCCACATTTTAGGTTTCAAATCAACAGCACAATATTGCTACAGGACTCTCTCTTTTTGCCAAATTTAATATTATTAGCACCATGTCAAGTAAAAGCAAATACTTTTACTGTTGATAAAATGAATTCCTGCTTTGCTAATACATAGCTGAAAAATTATGAAAGTAAAAGGTGAAGTCATGTTTCTTTAAGGCGACAAATGTTAGTTAGAGAATGGCCCCATAGTTTATAAATAATGTGTCAGAGGTGACTCCTCATCCAAACTAAACATTCGCTAGGATTATACTTTTTGCTCACAGCCTGCAATTCTTGATATCAATTTTTGTCTACCACTTTTATTAAAGAAAGAAAGCTTTATTTAGTAACATCCATGAATATCGAAAGATGCGTTTCAGGGAAAGCAAATTGAACTCGGAATCTTTTAGATGTTTTAGCCAATTTAAATACATTTAGAGTAAAGTGTGCTTCTGGCTCCTCAAAATATTGATTTGCTGAATTAAAAAGGAAAAGGGGAAAAACTCTAGTTAAACTGAACAGAAGAAACAAGATGAGCATTATTAAAATCAGTCGCTACTTCAACCAAGAAGTAACTTGTCCTGTTTGACTTCACCAGATCTTCAAACTTGATTAAGCCGAGATCCGAGCTGAGGATTTATAAATACTGTACAGGGGGGTCACAATAGCAAATTAAAATGTATTGAGGAATTCACTGTTGGTGCTCTGACTGCCTATAGTCCCAACTGTCTTGTACTTCACCAGATTCAATCAAATTTTTCCCCACCTTTTAGAAAATGTGAACAAGATCTAGACACACAGTAAAAAAATATATCTCATAATTCAGCCAATGTTTCATTTAACAAATCACTGTCCCTTAAGCATCGAATGACACCATTATAATAATAGGTGTATAATAATAACCTTAAGGTCGAAATCTGTTCTGGTGATTGTTTCTTCGTGACGTAAAGCCCAGATCTCAGTAGATTGAAAAGATTCGTAGTAAGAACTTAGGAAGTGGTCAATTTTTAGTGTTCCTCAACCTTGGGTACTTGAAGACATGTGGACTTCAACATCCAGAATTCCCCAATCATCATCACCCCGAATTCCTCAGCCACGGGGAATTCTGGGAGTTGAAGTCCACATGTCTTCAAATACCCAAGGTTGAGGAACACTATTTTATTCTCTAGAATACTTACCTTGAGAATTGGGAGGGCAACGTCCCCCAACAAAGGTCAACACACAGGTAATTGTGCTTCCCCCACCATACCACATATTGTTCCTTTGCAAGCATCCTTCACACTTTTTGCCTTCCCAAGTTCTGATGCCACTGCCAATTCTCTACATTTTATAGCCGGTCAAATTCATAATGATCTCGTCTACAGGT